AAGAAGCCCAGCTTCCTCTGCCCTCAATTATAAAGGAATGAGGCTCTGGAGTCCAGAGAGGAGTCTGGAGCTGATAGTTTTCACTAAGAGGCTCTGAAAGTTATTGCCTGTGGCCAACAAGTCGGGCTGCAATGAGAGTAGAACTGAGTGAGAACGCAGGTACTGTGCTTGGAAATCTACCACTGCGTTTGTGTAGAGGCTGGCTTTCGGGGACCAATCTTGGCCACTGGCTGAGCACGGCAGGGAAATCAATGCCAGCCCTTGCTGGGACACATGGAGGGTGCTTTGGTGCCCTCGCCTCACCTTCCTATGCATCCCCTCAATGGGGGTTCCACCTTCAGGGCAGTGTGACAGCTCTTTAGGCTCTCCTGGCTGGGCCCCATTTTTTCCTCACAGGCAATTCCCCTAATAAAATCCAGAACATTCAATACCTTCTTGGCTTCTGCTTTTTACCAAACCCCGATGAATGGCCTGGTCTTCTGTCTTAGCCGCCGGTGTTTGCCTGTTTATTAATTAACTCTTTGCACCACTGTGACTCCCCATCTCTGATAGTTGACTTTTGTATCAACATGAGTAAGGAATACCCAACTGATTGGCTTGGCATAATTCTGGGTGTCACTGAAGGGATTTACTGAAGATGACAGACCCACCCTGGGTGCGAGTGGCACCAACCAGTAGGCTTCTAGACTGGGTGGAATAAAAAAGGGACAGAAAGAAGGAAGGTATCTTCTATTTCGTCAGAGTAGCTCCAGTCTTTGCCTTCACCTTGGACATCCATCTCCTGGCTTCCAGCATAGACTCTTCTGCTTCCTGATGTGGACTCACACAGGACACTACAGTGAGCTGCAGGCCTTCAACCTTGGGATTTTTTTGGATCGCCAGTGCACAGCCAGCCAGCTCTTTTATACTCTTCCACACCTGACTCTGCAGGCAGCCCATGCATATATTTTATATTAAATCTGTTTCTCTAGTGAACACTGACTGATACACCATTCAGGTGTCTTAGAAATGATGCTCCCCATGAGGAGGCAGGACTTGAGACTCAGGGATCCTCAGAGAAAATTTGGAATAAGAACTAGCACACACCAAATAGTAAGAATAAAATAAAAAGCATCATAGCTATAAAGATTAGAAAGAACATTCCTGGATCTTATCAATCTTACTTTCTTCTCTGTAAGATTCAAGAAAAGAGAACCAGTAGCATTTGTGGAGCACCTACCACATGCCATGTGTTTGCCTGAAGAAATTTTCATAAAAGCATCAACTCAGGTGAACAGATGAGGAATCCAAGGCAGGGGAAGGTAATGTAATTAGTCCTAGGTCACATTGTGAGCAAAAGATGAGCCATATTCAGACTCTTAGGACTTGAAAAATCTGTGCACTGCTCATTTCTTGGGAGTGAAATAAGGATCGCTACTCCAGCCTGTGCCTGAAGAGGGAAGGTATGAAGCTGTCTTTGTAGCTGAGCAAGTAGTGGACCACTTCCTGGTTGTGCAGCTAAGCCAAGGGTAACCTCCTCTGCCATCTCATTGGTACCTTTGCACCAAATCATGGTGAAGACAGACCCCCAGGAGCTCTTAGCAGGAGCAGTTGCTTAGTGCCCTGAGGAGGAACTGTCACCTAGGAGAGCAAGAGGGAGTATGAGGAGCTGCCTCATGTACGTTCATGAGGACAGGCAGAGAGACAGACAGTATGACTTTCGTCTGGAAGGCAAGGGACAGCTGCACTCTCACGAATAACCACAGCATTCTCTGACAGACCAGGAAGAAACTTGGGAAGAGATACACAATCCCAAACATCACTGTGGGATGGCTTGGCCTTATTCATCAAGTCAAGTGACCTATCCAGTCCCATGTGGACAAGTGCCCCAAGATCTGAGGGAAGTTTAAATCTTTTTAGCTCATTGACTCTAATTCAAGCAGTAGTCAAGGGATTAGAAATGACTTCTACCCTCTTCATGGAGATAGTGTTCTATAACCAAAAAGCATCACGATGCAGGAGCTCTCTGGGAGGGTCTACATTTGCTCTTACCAGAGAAGAACATTATACCAATGTCTTTTCCATCCTGGAGCCCTTCCAAGTCCTAGCATGTCATATCACTGCCGTCTCTAGAGTGAGAATCAATATGCTTTTGAATGCATATCCTCCGGTGTGAGAGAAATGGAGCACAGAGTCCCAATTTCCTTTCTTTCTTGCTTTTCCAGGGTGGAGGGGCAAACCCAGACCCTTGGGCATGCTAGTCAAGCATTCTGCCTGAGCTATATATACCCCAGCCCCAATTTTATTTCTCTATTTCTATATGTATTTACTTATAAATGATTTAAATATATTGTTTGCTAATGTTCCAACGCATAATATACAATTTCATCAAGGTTTATACAGTAGGTATAAATCTATGTTTCAGTCAGTCTTTTATCGTGTCCAGCTTTTTAGCTAGCCCTTGGTAGATCTGACTAGGTCACCATTCTTAATATTTTATAAAGGGCTTGTTTATTATTGGAGTAGGAAAAGCTCAGACATTGTCTTATTTTTCACTTGTACATAATATCTTTTGTGAGACAGTTCATGAGTTTCTTGATTTTCTGCATGTCTGGTAAGCAGAGGTTCTGACAGCTTTCATTCTGGACTATCTTTTCACAAATGTTTGTACTGCAAAAAGCCTTTAAACACAGAATTGGGCTCCTTTGGTGTCAAGAGCAGGATGGTTTGCTGTTCAGTGTTATAAAGAAACGTCTTCCCCTGGGGTACCAGTTGGGCAGCTTTCTTAGCATTCCCATCTGGGTTCCCTTCCTGCAGGGATTTTCAGCTATGAAGTGTACACACTGCTTATGCATGACTTACTGGAGTGGTCCACAGTGGCCCATGAATTTGGAGCAAGAGGGGCCAAAGTGAATGAGATCCATGCTGTTTACTATGCTGTGAGTCATAACGTCCTCTGTCTCTAACCCGAGGTCTCGTGTCTTCTCTAGCATCTATGCAATGTGGCAGGTTAGCTTGAAAGTAGGGGAGTATCTGGGACCATCTATACTTTTTAACAGCATCCTTTATACATTTTAAAAACTAGAGTGTAAGACCTTTCTAGACATTTGTCTATTTAGCTTGGTTAGAACTAGGTAAAATTGGCAAAGGAGCCAATTCTGTGTTTTAAGCCTTTCTGTGGTACAAACATTCTTGAAAAGATAGTCCAGAATGAGAGCTGTCAGAACCTTTGCTTACCAGACAAGCAGAAAAATAAGAGACCTGTGAAAAACTGCCTCATGGAAGATATTATGTACTAATGAATGTGTACCTAACTGCACATGCACTAACTCATCTTGGCACACCGACATGGAAACCATCTGTAGACTTCCTGTCGTGTTGTATGGAGCCCACCCTTCCCTCCAGGTGACTTGTTTATCCCACAGGTTATTGAGCAGTGTGCCACATAGACTGAGGGGGCCAGGAGTTAATCCATAATCAATACAGATAATTTTCTTCAAAAGAAGTCATAATGTCTTCTCCTCCTCACGGTCCCAATGAATGACCTTGGAAGCCCACTGGAAACTACTGCTTCTGAATATTTCTCTCTTACCCATTGTATTTATCCCACACCTAGAACATTTATCCATCACTGACCTCAGCCCTTCAGGTCTTGCTTTGTTTGCCTCCTACCATATCTGAGCACTACTGTGTCTGTTTTACATGTGAGTTAATATGGTTTAGATGGACTATGTAAATGTTCACATAAACTTTTCACAAAACAAATTGGCTAGCAGCCTCTGACCACAGTCTGCTCTCTGTTACTGCCCCTTTACTTCACACATGACAAGACTCAGGCTGAGGTGACAGAGGTACTCAGTCCCTGTCTGTCACCAGTTCTTGTGCAGGTATCATTTGCTTGTCAGGAAAACCTAGGCGAGAGTACCTAGTCATCATTACATGAGTAGTGGTTTTGAACCAAACTTGATTAATTTCTATTGAGTGAATTATTTCTTGTTCTGAAATCATATTAGAAGAAATTTAAGTGTGCTTTTGCATTTTTGAATACAGAAATTGAGATTCTATACCTCATGGATTTTGGGCGAGAGAAGGTGGGTAGAATTGGGGTAAGGAAGATACAGATTAATTTAGAAAATAAAAAAGCTGCCAGATGACTCTGTCACACTCAGGGACACACTCCTGTGTGATCAAAAACACACATGCTTGCAGGATTGAACACTTGATGCTGCAGTTAAATTGTGACACATTGTTCCCCTAAACAGAGACTCCAGCAAGTCCTGGGCATCAGACCCACAAACTTGTGAACACTGTCATACTTCATGCCTGCTGGTTTTGAAAAAGATGGATCACCCCGACTCCTTTACTGTACTCTGACTTCTAAAACCAGCCTTTCAGTTTGACAGAACAGAACATAGTCCTCCGAAGTTTTAGAAAGAAAGTCAACTACACCTCTGGAAGGAGGAAGATGTGTTCACATGTGTGGGGAAAGGAGGCTTATGGAAGAAGGCTCAGGAAGGGAATCGGGGACATGTGAATTCATACAGATACAGGAATGTGTGGTACCAGCTGACCATAAAGTGCTGCCCAAGTGCTTCATTTATAGTCTGTGGTGAAGAAGTAGATGGAGCCTCTCTAGGAGTCACTAAATGTGCTTTAGGTGGAGCTGCAAAGGCACAGGGTAGGACAGGATCATTGAAGAGATGGACAAGAGAGGCCGGACATAATGCTGGGCAACAGCAACAGGATTTCTCGAATGTTGTTATTAGGGAGTCTTTCTTGCTTTCTTTCACACCATTTGAAAGTCCTGTGACATTGCGCTCAGTTCTGTCTTTCCTGGTCTCAGAAACCAGTCTGGCTCATGATCATTTCCTATTGATGACAGTGTTATAACTAAAGGAACAAGGGACACCGATCTACCCCCTGAGACTCTTTCACAAGAGGCTGGATGCAAATTTCTGGACTTTTTGTGAAGGAGAAAGCAATTAATGAGAAAAAATATCAAGCTAAATAAATCAACTCACCTGTAATAGATGGGGGTAATAGAAGTCAACAAGTTTTCTTGACCACTGCTCAGGGAATTTTGAGAATAGTGAATAACAGTTAGTAATTAGAAATATTGAAATTTCCTTATTCTCAGAATAAAGTCTTTTCTTATCCCTGATTATATATATATTTCAAAATGTCCAAGCTGTAGATTAGAAATAAGCATAATGAGATCATAGAATTGGCATCTAGCCCAACCTCCTCTTTTTACAGAGGAAGAAACTTAAACTCAGAGATAGGAAGACAGTTATCTGAGGTCACACAGCACTCCACAGCCCACACCGTGTCTGGAACTCAGGGTTCAGTGGTAAGCACTGGTTTTTCTCTTAAAGCCCATCATTTCCTTGAAAGATCAGAAATAAGTTTCTAATCTCTCCCTTTAAATGAGCTTTCCTTTTGGCAAGAGAAAAGTAGATAGCTGAAAAGCTATAGGTGCTAGAGAGGTAGAGGTAGGGATGCAGAAGAGAAACTTTTCATTAATATCACTGTCCCAAAGCAGGCCACCCCCAAAGCCCTGCTATCTTCATGGCACTCCTCTGTCCAAATATCCTCCACAGGCTGTATCATGGCCTACAGAATACAGTCAGTCTCCAAAACACACCCCGGGGGTTCACATCCACCCTATTCTTATAATGAGGCTCATATGAACATTAGATGAAGTATTTCTTACCATTATGGTGGCCAGATGCTGAGATGGCAGGTGACCACATTCTAGAGATGGTTTGGGGCCAAAGGCCTAAAGTGATTTGTTGCCCAAAGCAAGCAAAGCCCGCTCACTCCTGCTGATAGGAAAGTAAAAGCTCAGAAGAGGATCCTTCCCTGGGAGAGTCCTTGGGGGTGACACAGCCCAGGGTGACCCCACATCTGCGGCCTTGCACAGGACCTTGAATGTGTGGCAAGCACACACTGCCTCTGAGCTGTGTCCCTCTCCTGAACGTGTGTCTGACCCATGGAAACCATGACATAATGGATTAGGAATCTGTAATAAGAGTGTGGCAATATGTTAGGCAGCACAAGATTCCAGATATACATGTTGAGTAACCTTGGGGTGATAAACTTTGTCTCTCTGGACAGTAATCACCTGCGTAAGAACCTTTGTTCCAGGGCCTGGTGTGGGTCTCGGTCCCCAGCAGCAGGCAAGACAGGCATTGTCCTGCGCCCACGGAGCCTTGAGTCCAGCCTCAGTCCCTAGGGGTGTCACTGTTACCCTGCTGGTTGTACACCGAGTTTAAGTAGTTTCCGGTCTTTCCATCAGAAGGTCACCTGAAGCACTAGGTAGAGAGACACCAGCCTAAGCCATTCTGGAAGCTTTTCACTAGGGAAATCAGATCGAATGAATGGAGCTTTTGACATAAGCAGATGCATTTAAGTCTTTTTCCTCTTTAAATCAAGGCAGAGGTGGGGCTCCTTGTAAGAAGCACATGACGTGCCGAGCCATTCTGTACCCAGAGCCCATCCTATGTATCTCCAGCTCAGACTGTAAGCCCTTTTGCCTTTCCAAGAGAGAAACATTACAGACATCATTTTAGGGGGAGACTACCTATCTCTTGGCCTAAAAACAATGTTCCTGTTAGGGACCTGTTTGCTTTGTCCTAGCCCTGCACAGACTAAGTCCACTGTCCCAACCTCTGGGCCTTTCAGTTCCCTTGTGCCCTTCACCTTCTTCCCCTCCCTCCTGTAGGTGACAATACATCCCTCCCCATAAACGCTGCCTGTGCTCACACGCAAAGGTCCTGTCATCCTTCAAGCTCAGTGACTCTCATGCAAGCGGTCACAGCCCCTAAAACCCACCAATTCGTCTTCTTCTATGGCTCAGTAAAGGCCTCAGAAACCAATGGCCCCGTTGGTGGCTTTGTCTGGACAGCACACTGGGCATGTCCTTGCTTCTACAAGAATGTGCTGTCATGTGTCCTCCTAAGACTGACAAAGAACAAGCAGAAACCTGTCTTCAGGAAGGACTCGGAATGTTCTGCAGGACATGGTTGAAAACAGTTAATTGTATGGAAGACTGTGAATGTTCCCGGGTCAGAAATGAAAAATGTCTGAGCTAATGACTATGCAATGTGACCGAGCTTATTTCACATTATATACATATATAGATGTGTCACACTGTATCACTCATATATATATATATATATATATAGAGAGAGAGAGAGAGAGAGAGAGAGAGAGAGAGAGAGACAGAGAGACAGAGAGACAGAGAGACAGAGAGACAGAGAGACGAGAGCTTTGATTGATTGACTGGGATTGTAATCCTAGCTCAGTAATTTATAGCTGCTTATAGCCGTGTGACCTTTGGCAGATTGTTTAACCTCTCCATTCTCTGTTTTAGAAACAAGGATGCTAATAGCTTCACCTCATACATAGGATATCAAATACTTACAGCCTGGGACATGGCGAGCACTTGTAAACGTCAGCTACTGCTACTAGTGTGGCAGAAGGAAAGACAAACAAAACCATTTCTGCGTAGGTTGACTTTGCTGAGGACACAACCAAGGAAAGCAGGGAAGGCTTAGACTCTCCTTGTTGGGCTCAGGAGGGGAGAAGCATGGATTTACCCAGGGCGTCTTTGCTTTCGATTCTGGTCCTCCTGGACCCTGTCCTCCGCAGCTCTTCACCTCTGTCCCCCCTGGACTGAGACCCTCTGCCAGGGACCCCCATTTCTCCCCCACCCTCCCCCAAGCCTGGGTCTCACTGTCCCACTTCCTCTCCGCCATATTTCTCCTCTCCCTGCCCTTGTCCTCAGGCCTTTTCCTAGCATCTGATCAACTAATTAGTGCCAAAATGTTAATCACCCTTGGTTTAAATCAGTCTTTCCCAGTTCTTTTTTTTCAATGTCCACACCACACGTGTGAAATATATAATTCCCAAGCGTCCTTCAGCACCCGGATTTCAGCACTTTGAGGGGAGGCATAGAGTGGAAGAGCGCCCCCACCTGGCCACCCAGAATCACAACGGCCATGCAGGATCCAACCAGTGCACTGAAACAGAATCTGTCAGGAAAATCCAAGTTTCTAGAACAAAGGCCATGCTTGAAGCCTGGAAGGGGCTGTTGGGTGGGGATTGGGAGAAGACGCCTTGGAGAGCTTTCCTAATCACACGTGTTAGTTGTCCTCTCCATCCAACTCTAAAATCAAATAATTGTCATCTCTTGGCCTGATTTCCCTCTGGCTTTCAAATAAAATACCATACTGGTGTGGAGCTTCAAGGCCACCGTCTGCTCATATGTTCAGAACTGGCCTTGAGCAGAGCTCTGAATCTGTGTAAGTATAAATGATACAGAAATTCTTCTACTTATTCAGGGCAGTGTATTAACTGTTGAATAGGGGAAGCCTTCTTGACTTGGTTGGCTGGCTGGAGGGAAAATGTCAGGACAGGTTGAGTGTGCTGTATGCTACTTTTCCTTATTTGGCCAGGGGAGGTGACACCCAAAACCATGGTGTTAATGTCCCATCTCAGGAAGTCCTTGGTGTCCCCAAATCCCAGTGTTCATTAGATGACCCTAAAAGTTCCATTTTCCCAGGAGGAGAAAGACTCCATGCTATATAGTAGGATCACTGAGAAGTATCTGGATGTGGAAAGAGGGATGGAAATCAGCAGGTGAGACACAATTACAAGTGTTTAATTTTGCCTCCATAAAACCATGTAAGATAGTTGATATTTTAGTATCAAAATGAAGTCTTACTTTCAATTTGATCTGGTTGTTGTTGCTTCAAGATGGAACAATTTGTGTGCACACACGTGTGTGTGTGTGTGTGTGTTATATGTGTGTATGAATGAATATGTTAAAAATCTATTAGATCAGTGCCTCTCAAACATTGCCACATATTAGAGTCAGGTTGTACCTCAGACCAAATAGATGAGGTTCCCTCAAGTATTAGTATTTTTAAAGTGTACCAGATCATCTCAGTGTGCTGATAGTGCTAGAAGAAAAAGACCCATTGAACAAACCAAAATACAAGACGAAACAAAATCAAATTTCAGCCCCAGTGAAGACTTATCTCTAAGACCATTTTCAGCTCTAAGTTTCTATTTGCTGCTTTACACAAAGAAAAATACATCTTCCAAACTATCTGTTACACCTAGCAGTTGCAAAAATATGAAAAACAATAACAAAACAACAACATAGCTCCTGAACTGGAAACTTTGAAGATTACCATGTACAAGTTCGGAGAATTTCCCAATTTCTTGTGGGATGGACCTGTATAATCTGATGCAAATAGGCTTAGAGTTAAATTTGATTTCTCCAGGGAAGATACACTGGCATGAAGAAGCAGTCAAAAGTCAGGTGGAAACCAAAGTTCCCTGGTAAGCACTGAGTCTTGCTTGTTGTTTGTGTTGGTGGGAGGTCCCAGGGCTCAATCTTGGCTGCCAGAGGCATCATTAATTTCAATTAGGGGGAAAGCCTTTGGAGTGAATTGCTCCAGTGACAGCCATTTCAGGACGTCCCGCGCATGCGTGCATGTGTGTTTCCCAAGGATACCGCTAATGGAGTTTGAGGTCTTTTCATCTAAACAGAAGCCTTGTTAAGTCTCCTCACGTCTGTAAGTACCTGTAGCTGCCCTGTTCCCTCTTAATTCATTTTCTGTGCCACATTCAAGAGTATTTGGAATCTCTGCAAGAACAAATAAACCTCTGAACTCTGATACACGTGTAATCTGCCAAGGTCCATCCCACCACTACAGACTGTCCCCAAACGCGGCTGAAACAACATCAGAAAGTATCAGTGTTTCCTGTAATCCATTTGCAAGAGACAGTGTACCAGACAAGTCACATTTCCTATTTCAGCTGTGCCTGGCATTTCTTTCCCTCTGGTAACTGGGGCAAGAGGTCAAGGGAGACTCTCAAGGTGACAGATTTGTTCAAGATGAAATGCAGCCCCTTTAGCTCCTAGGGCTCAGCCCTCACTATGTAGTTATACACCTTCCTCTCTCCTTTTTGTTTTTGCTCGGTGGATAAGGGAAGAGCTTGCATAAGATGGAAACACAATTGAAAGTTCTTACATTAATCAGCTGTGCAACCTTGGGCTTCTGTAGCTTCCTTTGTAAAGATGAAATTCCTCTAAATTTCTCTGTTCTGATCAGCAAAACAGGTTGAAATGGGTTATTTCCATTACCACAGGCACCTTCTGCTCAACTCCCTCTTGACAGTGAGTCTGTGGCCCTACAGACATACACACAGCCTTGGGAATACTGAGCAGAAGCTCGGGGCCTGAGAGGGGTCCTGGAAAACTAAGAACTTGAGACATTAGCTCAATGCACTGCCACCCCCCACTCTCTGTGTAAACTCTCAGGAACCAAGAACACTGGGGATGCTTCTCCCTCTCATAATTACTTGGGAAGGAATGTCATAGCCTCAAGCATAATTAACAGCATTTTAATTCATTCTCTCTTTTTAGGCTGTTCGCATACTTGCTGTTGCAGAAATGAGCACAGCATTATGGTGTGTTATCTTTTAAAAATGAGGACAGCAGTGTTGTGCTATGGCCATCCCCATACAAACCCTTGCTCTCAGCTGAATCCCAGGTTGGGGAGAGCATGAGGAGCTTGCATCCTGTGCTCCCCAAATGACATACAAATAAGCATTTAGCTATACTTATCTGGGGGATCTGCCACTCATTATCTGGCCAGGAGCGAAAGAGCTCATGAATAAACCACCCACTGACAAAGTTATACAGTTACTCAGGAGGCTTTGTGATAGTTGGACCACAGGCTTCTCTTCCTTCCTCCTCCTCCCTGGTCACCAGGACTAGACCAGACCTTCTCCCTGCCTGCTGCGTTAGCTGTACTCACCCTCTCTGGCCCTGATTTTAATGAAGAAAAAATGTTCGCATGTATTTGTTTTTGGAAAGACATTGCACATTGTCCCATATATTG